AGGCGGGACTTTTATTTTGACGGCGCTGAGAACGGCAGCACCGGAGCACAGTGCTCACATTCTCCCTCTTGTTCGCCGTCGTCGTTAACAGTTCTGTCTAATATAGATAGAAGTCTTGTCTAATAATCAGATAGAACGGTTAAACAAAGGAATTAAAATGTATACAAAAATTATTAGTAATAGAAAGGCAAACATTATAATTTTCTTGTTTGCCATCAGCATTCAGCAAATACGCATTTATATCATTTAAACAAATCTTTGAATGTCTAATAAACATCCAATTTAAAAAACCTTGCAAACTTAGTCGGATCCAGTTGTGAGATCTTGTGAAGTGTGTATGTGACCTGCATGATCGCGTGTTCTCTGCAACTTTCGGTCCGCGCAAATTGAATGCTTTAAACATTAAAAATATGATTAATGCACACAAACTTCCCAGAATACTGAGTGCCCTGTTGGTTACGGTGTTTACTTCCTTTTTAATTATATTTTTATTAAATATTTATTTATATGTGAAAATACTTTGTCATCTAAAGTATAAGTATGTTTATTTAACACATTGATTTTTTTTATCAATTTTCAAATTATTTCAAATTTCTTAAATATTAATTTAAATAAATAAAATTATATCGGCCATTGGCCAATCTTTTTTTTTTATTGAGTTCATATTATATTGACTTTATATTGACTTCATTATGGCCTGTTTTAAGTGCGACCTGTCCTAGATTATTTGCATGACTGAATTTATTGTTGGGTTTTTAAAAACAAAAGAGGAAAATCAGCATTTGGACCCGGAGGGATGGCGCTGTGTGCTCTGGATGTGTTTGAGTGAATCAGAAGAACACAGGTGAGCTCATGTCCAGATCTAGCTCTGTTTAGTGCCAGTCACTCCAGAACAGCCTTGATGAGATTTCACATTCAATTATATCCGAGAGACAGAGATTTATCTATATAATAAAGTGTCTTATTTCTGTAAACACGTGTTCTGTGATCCTTCCGCACTTATACACTATCTTCATTAGTTTTCTTTAGATCTTCAGTTTGTTTATGTGAAAGAATAATTCACTTTCTGATTTAAGGTCATTTGATGCGTAGGCTTTTGCCGGTGTTTTCACATTATTATTATTTTTTACTCATGATGAGCTTAATGATTAAAAAATAAATGATCAGTTCTTTATATATTAAATGTATATTATTGATTCAACTCAAAAGCGAACGTGGACGTCTGAACACGCTTTCCCCGTCTGCGCATGCGCACGCGCGCACGCACGGTGACGTCAGCCGTACGCGCCACATTCGAGCTGCCGTTTCGCGCTCTCTGCTGTGTTTACGTTTGTTTGGAATATTAAAACCTGCTTATGTTTCGGTTATGAGCGTTCATAAACACGCAGCGCTTCAGCGCGTCTGATGTCGTCGCGGTATGCTCGCTCAGACAGGATTTAGTCGCGTTTGTGAGTTAATATCCACCGAAGATGAAGATGAGGTGATTCTACAATGAGCGCCCATCAGAGAACGTTATTCCAGTCCTGGGGCGGCAGAGACCCGAGCAAAACCAGCGCCAGACCAGGTGTGTACTCCAGACATCACGGTTAGCTCACACACACACCTGGACAAACTCTAGACACGAAACCTCGCTGAGAAACTCTGCTCAAGTGGCTAAAACTTTTAACAGTAGGGTAACGTTACAACGGGGCTAAAGGCACAACCTAAGAAACAATGTGCTTTTTACTGCACCTAAAGTGTATGATTGCAGAACAAATTTACGTTTGATTCTTCACAGATTTTGTGACTGATTCGGTTCTAGTACATACCGGTTACATGGGTACCGGTGCCATATTGGTACCGGGTTTCGGTACCCAACCCTATTTAGAGCAAACTAGTTTATGCACTGTCTCCGCAGCAGCTCAGTCTGTGTCCTCTGCTATATTTTCAGATGCACTCGTATCAAACTACTGTTTATCCATATAAACGGTATTGCCTCATATCGAATCGCTTATAAAGAAAATATCGATATATCGTACAAACCTGATATACCGCCCAGCCCTAACTGAAAGTTTATCTGCTTACTTACCCTTAAACATCCCCGGATGAGTCCCATAACCTGCTCTCTGTAATACCCCCAGATCCCGCAGCGGCTCCTGATGAAGATGAGGATGATGATGATGTGATGCTGGTGGCTGTGTACGAGGCCGAGCGCTCGCTGCAGGCCGCTCCGGAGCTGGGCTTTGACCCCTCGGCGGGCCGCGTCTGGATCTACCCCGTTAATTACCCGCTCCGCGAGTACCAGCTGCGGATCTCGGAGGCGGCGCTGCTGCAGAACACGCTGGTCTGCCTCCCCACCGGCCTGGGCAAGACCTTCATCGCCTCGGTGCTCATGTACAACTTCTACCGCTGGTTCCCCTCCAGCAAGATCGTCTTCATGGCTCCCACCAAACCGCTGGTGGCCCAACAGATCCAGGCCTGCCACGGGGTCATGGGCATCCCGCAGGAACACATGGCCGAGCTCACAGGTCATTATTATTATTATTATTATTATCAGAAGGTCATAGGGACCGGTCCCCGATCAGACTGTAGTGCGGGAGTTAATGAATGATGTCAAATTTAACATTAAAGTAAATAAATGGGGCTGCTCAATTTATCAAAATAATACTTTTATAATTAGAGGTATAGTAGTAATAATGTTAAAAAATATCCGTACAAACTTTGTCACATAGCTAAGGCCTAATATTACCTAATCAAATAAAATTATATATATGTGACCACAAAACCAAAGTCAATTTTGTGAAATTGAGATTTATGCATCATCTGAAAGCTGAATAAATAATCTTTCCATTGATGTATGGTTTGTTAGGATAGGACAATATTTGAAAATCTGGAATCTGAGGGTGCAAAAAAATCCAAATATTGAGAAAATCATCTTTAAAGTTGTCCAAATGAAGTTCTTAGCAATGCATATTACTAATCAAAAATTAAGTTTTGATATATTTACGGTAGGAAATGTACAAAATATCTTCATGGAACATGATCTTTACTTAATATCCTAATGATTTTTGGCATAAAAGAAAAATGTATAATTGTGACCCATACATTGTATTGTTGGCTATTGCTACAAATATACCCCAGCGACTTAACACTGCTTTTGTGCTGCAGGGACACATATTAAGAGTTAAAGCACTTATTAAAAAAACGAAAGCACTCAAATATCAGAGGTTTTAATGACAAAAAGAAGAGTTCAAAATGAATCATTTAACTTACAGTCTACAAAGGAGTGGATAAATATATACTCCATTTAATATCAAAGAAGCAGGGTTATTATAGTTAACTACAACTGCAATTAAAACCATAAAACATTCAAATGAGTTTAACTCAGTGTTCTAAAATAACTAAAAGTGTAATGAAAATGAATGGACACTTTAAAATAAATAGAAATGCAAAAATGCACACCAAAATAACTAAAACGTCAACTAAAATTCAAATTAAAACTAAGTATTAATAAAAACAATAATAGTATATTAATGATACTAAAATGACACTGCATAGAACTTTGCAAAATCACAGGTTTATAAATAAATAACCTTTTTTGGTGATATTATTGTCATTCTAATTAATAATATTAATATATATCATTATAATATTAATTATTAATTTGTATTAATGTGCTGTTCAATTATATAAACATTATTTATTATTTAAAATGTATTGTTTAATATTATAAATATTTGTTAAATTATTTAAATATTTTCTTCACCAGCTGGTTCTCCATAAACTGCTGAAACCTGTAATCTTGAATGGATTGTGTTAAGCGTATGTTGATGTATATGTTGGTTAGGGCTGGGAAAATAAGTCGATGCATCGCGAATCGAGAAATTATTCAATGAGATTTTTCGAATGCGTCGCGATTCTTTCTCGAGTGGATTCTGAGCTTAGTTTCTAAAATAATCATTCATAAAATTTGAAAAGGTTGAAGCGAATTACAAGGTTGTTCACAGTGGGCTGTGTTTACATTAATCTGGCGTCATAAAAGCATTCTGAGCCGAGGTGAAATTACAGACTCAGCCGAACGCACAAGCGCTCTTCAGCTCTTCTTCATGAGTGTTTGAGTGTGCGGATAGGAAAACTAGAGTAGAGCGCCATCTGCTGTTAAAATATAAGCTCAGAATCCATTCCAGAGAGAGTCGCCATGCATTCGGAAGATCTCAGAATGTGTTTCTCGTCGGAGTCCTAATGTCGGTGTGTGTTTGCTGTAGGCTCGACGGCGGCGCAGCAGCGGCGGGAGCTCTGGAGGTCCAAGCGCGTCTTCTTCTTGACTCCTCAGGTGATGGTGAACGATCTGAGCCGTAACTCCTGTCCGGCCGCACACGTCAGGTGTGTAGTGATCGACGAGGCACACAAGGCCACCGGGAACCACGCGTACTGTCAGGTAGAGCTTCACCTGCTTTATTGAGACACAGCCCGGTGCATGATGGGAGATCGGTTCTGATCGCTTGTGTTCACTCTGCAGGTGATTCGTGAGCTGAGCAACCAAACGCAGCAGTTCCGCGTTCTAGCGCTCAGCGCCACACCTGGAGGAGACGTCAAGGTGCATATGTGGCTGGATTTTGATGCGAGAGACAACAGCAGATGCACTTTTTTCACTTGAGGAAGAGTTATTATGGACTCTATGGTATTTTAGTTATAAATGTCTTAATGCTGGATTAGTTTCAGCTTTTGTCTTCTCCAGATGTTAACTGGTGGACTGGAGTGCTGTGGATTACTTGTGGATTATTGTGATGTTTTTATCAGCTGTTTGGACTCTCATTCTGACGGCACCCATTCACTGCAGTGGTGAGACGACGTCCATCAGATCAGTCGCATCTCTTGGTATCAGACGTGTGTTTGTGTGTGTTTCAGGCAGTGCAGCAGGTGATCTCTAACCTGCTGATCTCTCACATCGAGCTGCGATCGGAGGACAGTCCAGACGTCCAGACGCACGTCCATCAGCGCAGTCTGGAGAAGATCGTGGTCCCGCCGGGAGAGACGCTCGTGCAGTATCAGACGCAATACCTGCAGGTACGTCTCATGATGTCCTTTGGCATCAGTGCAGCTTTCCTACGAGACTGGGAGATCTTTAAGGTGTGTTTGACCTTTCGTGTGTTGTTCAGGGTGAATAAGAGACTGAGAGACGGCTGGTTTAAATCACAGTGGAATCAGATCAGGGCCTGTATTCACAAAACATCTTAAGGCTAAAAGTAGCTCATAACTTGACAATTTAGGAGAAAATCTATTACGCTTTTTCACTTCTTGAATTTTAGTCAGTGTGTAGTGTGTATGTTTGGGCATAAAAAAGATCTACAAAGTTACAAATCTCAAAGTCCACTCCAAAGGGAGATATTTGGTTTTTACAATCCCTTTTCAAGAACTACAACGAACGGCTCGTTTGGACTACAGTGTTGTTTTCCGGGGTTTGTGATGTCACAAAGCGGCCCATTAGAATATCATTAAAATAATTCCCGCCTACGGAGATTGGAATGGTTGGGGTGGGGAGGGGCGAGGTTGTGTTAGAACTAGGGATGCACCGATACCACTTTTTCCAGTACTCGCCCGATACAATACTTTTATTTTTGGTACTTGCCGATACCGAGTACCGATACCGATATTTTCATTGCATTTGTACATTTTTTAAATATTGTGTACAGAAGCCAAAATAGTATGTATAATGTTAGTTGGTTAACTTCATTTATCAAATAGATAGTCAAACCAAAATTTATTCAGACACCTTCAACATTTCTCACATTATCACAGTTTATTCGCTATAGTTTAGAAAATGGTAATAAAATATGACAAAAACTCGGAGTTAAACTGTGTCAGAACAAATTCAGCTTGATAATGTCAAACTTTGATAGAAAGGTATGTAATGGATTACAATGAACCAAAAATTATTCATACAGCTGTCAATATTTACACAACTATCAATATTCTGTCGGGTGACCCTTAGCCTTAATGACAGCCTGTAGCCTCCTGGGGACGGTTGCACCAGCTGGACGTACACCCGGTTGTAAGACTAGGCTGGACGTAAAATGCGCTTTAAGTCGTGCGTAGAATTTATACCCGTTGCACCATCTCGGCGTAGTGCTACGTCTGACACTAAATCTTATGCCTAGTTAGAGGTAGGTATAAAGTGAAAAGTCATGATTTGCTCAGACATTATTCGTTTTAGGATTCATGTCTGTTAGTTAATTATTACTGCAGACGTGACCTGTAATGTTTATGGTCTTTTCGGGCAGGATAAGCGATATCAATCGCGAAGCTCTGTGCTATCCTACCACACTGTCGACATTGAATACAAAATATATTTCTGTCAAGCATGTAATAATTATGCAGTAAAATATTACATATGAACTGGGATTATTAAAAGAAACTGAACCATTTGACATCTTGCTTGGAAGGACAGTGTAAATGAAAATATTTCA